AATTTTCTCTTCTGAAAAATGCAGGTTTCCTCTTCAAACTATCAAGTATTTAACCCCTCAAGATTCTTCAGCACCTAGACTCTACGGTCTTCCAAAAATCCACAAGGAATCAGTGCCTTTGCGCCCTATTGTCAGCAATATTGGGGGACCTACCTACCAGTTAGCCCGCTATCTCACCAAACCCCTCCAGAAACTTACTGGTCTCAATGATTCCCATATCAAGAATTCAACGGATTTCGTGAATAAGATCACAAAAATCAAGATGAATACTAATGATATCCTGGTGAGTTTCGATGTAGTCTCACTGTTTACTAATGTTCCAGTCCAGGATACTTTAAACGTTATCAAGAATTCCGAGGAAATTCCTGCTAACCTCTTCCCACTAATAGAACACTGCTTAACTTATTTTCAGTTCCAAGGAGAGTTTTTCGAACAAACCTCTGGAGCGGCGATGGGATCTCCTATATCTCCTATCATTGCAAACATCTTTATGGAACATTTTGAGAATGAAGTTTTGAGGAACGCACCACTGAAACCATCCACATGGTTTCGGTATGTTGACGATACTTTCGTAATTTGGAATCATGGCAGGGAAACTCTTTCTCAGTTTCTCGGGTTTCTCAATTCACAACATCCCAGTATTCAGTTCACAATGGAAGTGGAACAAAATAATCAAATATCCTTTCTGGATGTGCTAGTCCAAAAGAACCAAGATGGTACCTTAGGTCACCAGGTCTACCGAAAACCAACACATACGGACCGATATCTACATGCAACCTCTCATCATCATCCCTCGCAAAAGAATTCTGTCATAAATAAGTTCATTGGTTTACAGAGTGCTCACAATTTCGGCTCCATTCCGGAAGCTATACCTAGACATTATGCATACAATTATATGTAATTATACAGGATTATCGAAAAGTATCGGACCCCCCTAATATCTTCAGTTAGAATGCATTTTGGAGAAAATATCCAGTAGCAAAGTTGTATGGTTTCAAACGGGGAGTAAAATGATGACCTGGACTTTGACCTTGACCATGTTCTTCAAGGTCATTTTACGGTCAACCTTATTTTTTAAAATAGAACCACCTACATTTTATTGCATATTCTTATAGCTTATCTCGAGAGCTTTCCAAAACGCTAGAATAAAACATTTTTTCATTAAGTACTTTTTAAATTATAAAGGTTTGAAGTTAACAATTTGTTAAGTGGCGTGCGGGTCCGGCCAATTAAGACGAATTTCATTCCAATTGGTCGGTTTGGGCAAAATATTTAATTCTATCAAACAATTCACAACAAATGTTCAAATTGTTGCCTTTCAACAGCCTGGCAATGTTGATGTTTGGGACAATCAATTGAAGCGCAATGGCTTCTTTTGTTACAGAAAAAATTTTTGGGACTGTTTGTTTTCGTCCACGAGGTGACTGCTGCTCGCTAAGAAGAAGACAGCACTGCATGAAAGATTAAAATGAGTGATCCGTATTGTTTGCTTAAGAGCTCGTACATTGGTGCCTGCGAGAGTAAGAGAATAAAGATCGACCCCGCCAACTCTTTCGGGCAGATTCCCGCTAACGCCTTCGTACATCATGCATTCGAACAGCTTCTCGCGATTACTTTCGGGCAGTATTCCGCCGTAGCCTACTAGCGTCACCGCTTGAAGCCGTACAACTTTGCTATTGGACATTTTTCCAAAATGCATTTTTACTGAAAATATTAGGGGAATCCAACACTTTTCGATTAATGTATTTTCTTTAAACCAATTAATTGGTCTCATTATTCCGCGCACAAAAGGTTATTAAGGTTATGATTACTGAAAACTAAATAATATTTTACAAGATATTTTACATTTTGTGTTAAAAAATTGTTAATTTCAAACCTTTATAATTCAAAAAGTACTTAATGAAAAAATGTTTTATTCTAGTATTTTGGAAAGCTCTCGAGATAAGCTATAAGAATATGCAATAAAATGTAGGGGGTTCCATTTAAAAAAATAAGGTTGACCTTGAAATGACCTTGAAGGACATGGTCAAGGTCAAAGTCAAGGTCATCATCTTA